TTCCCTACAAAACTAAACTTACAAATTATGCAACTGTTACTGTATCACAGGCTATTTTTACTTGGCCGACTCTGGAAAGGAGGATGGTTGAGGCACAGGAACAATATCAGTGCCTTCCAGAAAACAGAACTTGTAGAGAAGGTCTCTTGGTGATGGGCCTGCCCCCACCCCTGCTCTCTGGACTGACGGATTCTGGACCCTGAGTTTTCAGGGACAGACAGAGCATCACCCAACATTTTTATGTCACATCTAGGTTTTCAACCAGACATGATGTCACATGTCTTGTAATATCACTTCTGCCTCTGGGTTTGCCCCTAAAACTGGCAACCTGGCATCCCTAATCACATGCTGTTGAGTGGCATTCACAAAGGATATCAAGTCCCACCATAAACACCAATCCCATTGTTTCTTTACTTGCCCAAAGTACAAATTAGGTGCATCTATGTTCAAACACTGGAGGGAGAAGGGGAGCAGAGGAGCCCCAAACAACTGAAGTCTAAACATCTTCGCTTCTAGTATGAAGGTAACTGGCAAGTGAGGTTGCAGAATATGTAAAGTGGTATATATTGCTCATGTATTGCATTCTGGCCAACGTAAGCAACATTCTCTCTGAGAAGAAATGCAGATGACCATAAAAAGTCACCATTTTGTCTCAGGAGACTGCTTCGTCCTGGAACAGCTCCAGCCAATGACTCAAGTGATTGTTGCTTCTCACTGAGGTTTGCATTCTTTTCTGGTGAAACAGTAATTGAACATTGGACTCGAGACTTGCATTTCTGATAACCTGCTGAGAAGATGTGTGTTTTATGCAAAGCTGGTAGAATTTGGTGTCGTAAGGGATTATGGTCTCTTTGCAAAGTGTCAGGACGTCTGGTCAAAGTCTCACTTGACCCACAATAAGTTCAACAGGTGACCTTGGGACTCAACTAAACATTACCTGAAAAGGAGATCAGTTAGCCCCCAAACAGCTGTATTCATTTCAGAAGAGGGTTATTTGGAACATAAACATGGTACAAATTGTTTAGCTTTGCCCCCTGCCTCCTGTGTCTCTGCTCCAAAGCAGTTCTCTCCCAAGAATGGCCAGCAGCAGACATTATCATGCCCTTCCACATTGTTTTGTTAATCCCTTGGGCAAGCCACTTTCTCAGAGCCTCAGCACACAACTGCAATGTTGGGATAACTATCTGGCCTACCTTCCAGGTCCACTGTAAGGCTAACAGGTAAAGTGGGTGAAAGAGCTATTGGAACATTCAAAATAACTGTATAAATGCTATTACTTTAAAAGCTAGGAGCTTGCGAGTGTCCGCAGGAAAAGGGCCCCCCTAAAATTTGGAAATCCCTTCCACCCTCACCAGGCAAAATCTCCTCAACAGGATTATCTATAGATTCTCAGGGGCCTGAACATGCTAATATCACCCCACCCCACTTTCCCCCTTTAATTGATTCTCAAGGGCTGTGAACATTTCAGACCTCCTAGAACTTACTCACTTCTCAAGACAGAGGGGGGATCTCTCTCTCTCTTCTTCTGCATACCTGTATTTATACCTTGGTTTCTTCTCAGTGGAGAGCCAAACAGCCTACACCATCATTCTCTTAGGTCTCAACCACTTGTTAAGCAGGTGAGGCAGAGCACATATTTAAACCTCAGTCTCTTACATCCAAGTCCAGCACGGTAGCCACTACAATGGCTTACAAAATCCCATCCTCATCCACAGAGGATGTTTTCATGACTGGCATGTGGGCCAGGTACTTCACCATTAGATTTAATGATTAGAAAACCAACTTGATAAACTTACTGTACAATGAATCACCACAACTGCAGTCACACACATCTGGATAAGCATTCATACGCACAAATATGCAGGACTGAAAACAACAGCATTTCCTTCCATCCTTCAGATTAGGGTCACAGTGTGTTAAAGTGTCAAAAGAAGAACACATTGGTTAAAAGGCAAAAACATGATTTATTGGTGTACAAAACTAGAATCAAAATACAGTGTGGCATATAACGTAAGGCCTGTATTCATTGTTACACTACATTAGGTTGAAATGATTAAGACTTCCAGAAGACATTGTAAAACCACTTCAATGTTTCCATACATTGACTTTGTCGTCCACTCTTTCTGATACCTGCAGGACACAAGAGCAGCAGCCAAGAGAATTCTTGCCATACTGACAGCTTGTAGGAGAAGCTTCGTACCAGCAGGCTGGCCAGACGTTTTTGCAACAGAACCTTAATTAGTACCACATCAGAACAGCCTACTAACATGCCACTTTACTTCTTTGTTAAAGTTAGCCCCACCCCCACCCCAAATCCTGACAGCAGTAAGACTAACAGTAGGAAAACTAGAAGATTAAAGGAAAATGAATGGGACCACCACTGGAAAAACTCCATCACAATCCAGCGATCAGCAACCCACACAGATAGGTCTGACATCATTAATAAAATATTTTTAAGAAAAATAAATATTCTGCATAATGTATTTACATAACAGGGCTAACTCCTTTCACAAAGGGCTTCACACAGGGATGCGCAACCAGATTTTCCCTGACATGCAACACTCACAGGTGACACAATAGGTACAAAAAAGCCCTGGAGAGCGTCCGCTGAAAGATTAATAGGCCATGCAGACTGTGGACATCTGGAATGTGATGCGGAAAGGAAGCAAATTGTTTTTGGTCACCTCTTGAAACTACCTGCATTTCCCAACCCAGAAGTCAATGTAGTCTTACTGAAATGTCAAATTCACTGATGAAGTTCCAAAATCTGACTAAATTTGCAGTGAATTCAAGTAGCCTTTTGTGGATCTTATTCCATGGTTCATCTTCCCTGGGAGGTTTAGTGTCCTTCTATAAAGAGAAGATCTGTCCCGTCCATATTCTCTCCTTACTCTGTTACATCCCTTCTAAACTACAAAGCACATTCAGAGAAATATTGCACAAAAAGCATTATACTTATACTGCACAACTATGCCCCCCCCCAAGAAGACAGAAAAAGTAAATGCAAGAAAGGAGAGAAATATGTGATTGCACTTAAAATTTGAAGAGATCTATGAAGTGCTGCGGAGACACTGGCATGAAGCAACTGTCTGGATCATTGGCCGTGCAAGGATGTCCTGTATCCTAAAAGAAATGAGTAGCATGGTTATTTTCTCTCAAAACCACAGCTCTTTATATACACAGAACTGTTTCCCAATCCTAAAGCAGCATCTTGTTCAAGATCTCCTGGTTCTAGTTTTTAAAAAGTAAAATTGCAGCAGGATCAGAGTCCTAAAATGTACCTAAGTGACTACACCTATAGTGTTTGCTGGTTTCCTGAAGTTGATGGTCTGGAGCAGCTAGAGGGTGAGCAGGAGGAGAGGGCAAGAGATCCATCGCATTCGTGATTCAAAGGATCTGCCCATGCAGAGCTTGCATCTCAGAAGAGAGCAACATCTCTGTCCTTTAATCTGCAACATTCCACCTTTGGAAAATTTTAAAACCTAATAAACGCTAGCTAAAATCACCATCCCACACCAATAAACTTCAGGTCTTTAAAAAGCAAAACAGACACTTGGTTAAAGCAAGACAAGTGGAAAGGAGGACTGTGATCTCTACAAAGATTATCAAATCACTACAGCAATTATTTATTTGAAACATTTCTAGGCTGTTTTTCCTAATGTCCCAAAGCAGCTAAACATATAAATTAATAACTGTATTCTTTAAAAAAAAAAATTAAACAGGCTGGCCACAGAACCAACAGAAAGGTAGGTGAAACAGAAAACACAAAAGTCCATCTGGTCCAACAGCCTGTTTATAAGAGCATCCAACCAGATCTTCCAGGAAGAGCTTTAATAAAATACAGAGAACAGTGTCTCTGCCGTGCTCTTTGCTCTCTTCTGTAATTGATTGAGCACCGTTGTTTTAGTGTCGATGTTTTTAATATGTTTTATATGTTTAAACCATGGCACGGTTAATTACCCTGCCCCTGTTAGCCGCCCTGAGCCCATCGGGGAGGGCGGGATACAAATGTGAAAAATAAATAAATAAAAATGGAGGCTTTATTTAGCCACTATGGCTAATCGCTGTTGACAAACTGAGCCTCCATTAATTTGGCTAAACTACTTCAACGGCCATCACCACACAGTGAATTCCATAATCCACTTCATGAAGCACCACTTCCTTACGTCTGTCATGAATCTACCACCCACTGCCTTGACTGAGCTCTGCAAAAAGACAACCTTCTGCAGGTAAGGTATTCTAGAGCCTTAGGGCTACAGTGGTAAATGCCCAGCACTTCTAACCACCACTACCCTCAACTACCACAGAGCTGGAAGACTACCTGCTGACCCAACTACAACTGGTAGAGAGATGAGAATAGGGAGAGGAAATCTTTTAAAGTACTTAGGTCCCAGCCTTTCAGGGCTTTCAAAGTTAAAACCAGCATACCAAATCTGGCTCTGAAGTTACAAATTTGCTGTTGAAGACTAAACTTAATTGGGAAATATATTATCCCCCATAACAACAGATGGCTTAAAACATGTCAAATATGAGGTGCTTTATGAACGCCCCAAAAGGTACTGCAAATTTGGGCTTAAGACAAGAAGCAGGTTTATCTACTGTTACATTGAATATCTGGATACAGAAGTAATTATTGGGTTAAGTCCCATCTGAATCCGGTGGGACTTATTCCTGATCTTTTGTCATCAACACCGTATCCCCAATGGGCTCTTAGAGTAGTAGATAAATTGAAATTAATTGGGTTAGATCCTGAAAATTTGCTAGAGGGAGGGTTGCAGTACGCAAAGAACTTAATATACCAAAGATTTAAGGATATTGAAGCACAAAATGATTATGCAGCCCTGCCTTCCTATTATAAGAGATTAAAGCTGGGACCAAATTTAAATAAAAAATCCTAACCATAGATGGGCATTTACTAGAGCACGGCTTGATGCATTACCCTCAGCAGTACTTTATGGTAGATATACCCGGACCCCCATGCACAAGAGAACTTGCTCTTGTTTGTTAAAACAGGTGGAGTCGGCTTCCCATATATTACTCCATTGTCCTATGTATGACGAAGAGAGACAGCAGCTGTTGATACCCCTTCTCTCTCGTTTTAAACCCTTGGCTAATTATCTTACATATGCCAAGGAATGCTTGATGAAGTTCTTATTGGCTGATACTTATGGGCCTGTCTCACGCAGTGCTGCTAAATATTGTTACCTGGTAATTAAAAAGTGCAGAATGTACTATAACTCGAGCCATTAATGACAGAATTGACTGGTTTGGTATTTTAGTACTTAAGGCTGCAAGGATTCTATGTTGTAGATTCGGTGTTGTACTATTTTGGTTTATTTTGCTGGTCTTATGACTGTTTTTAATAAACTTGAAGGAGGTGCTTTATGTATATCTATTACAGCGCTCAACCAACAGCATCTTCGTTTAGAACTGCAAAGTATGATTTGACAGTCTAGCAAAGAAACAGATGTGGAGTGCTTTATATCCCAGTCCATTAAGTCTCTTACATTGTGTTATACAGAATTCCCCGGCATATTTTCCTCTGCACCATAATAAAGCCATCATACAATATTTTGTCTTTTATGACTTTTATAATCTGTCCTGCATTTTAAATACCATTCATCTCTCCATCGCAACCTTTCATCTCACTCTTCAAGCACCTTGGCTACTTCATTAATGTTTCAGTCATCCAAGGAGTCTATTGTACTTCTGAACAATGCTCCCTCTAAGCTGTGGAGTCCTGCGAGCAAAAATTCTACATTGTGAGCTACTGGCATTAAAGTTCTCAGCGAGCAATTTGGCTGCTGCATAAATTAGTTTGCTCTGGATCCATCCTTCCTGAGTAGGGTTGCCAAGCCGATCGGACTAACCGATGGGGGAGCGTCGCCGGGTTTCGGGAGCTGCTGCTGGATGTGCCGCCAGAACGTCACAGGAAGTGACGCACGACGTAGAGCATGTTGGGGGTGTGGTCCCAATCGTTGGAGGAAAAACCATAGAGTTTTCCCTCTGACGATTGGGGCCACGATTCCGCGGCGGCGGAAACCGGGCATTCAAAGCGGGGGTTTACCCGCTTCCCGCCCCCACTTGGCAGCCCTATTCCTGAGCTAAGACAAAAATGTGTGAGCTGGGGGCTAAAAAACTGAGCTAGCTCACACTAACTCAGCTTAGAGGGAACACCGCTTCTGAACACTCAGCAATTTAAGGTAGAAGAGTTCAAGACACACTTGGATAAATACATGCAAATTTGATTCTAATATCAGTTATGACCTGCTAGAATGAGGGGGCCAGTTCTTTCCCTCTACTTTGTTGGGGTCTACCATACCTAGAAGCATGGTTGTTGTCCTGTGACCTTTTAGCCTCCATTTGGTTGGCACTAGTCTCTACCTGTTGGCCTGTGACCACCACCCTCTTCCTCTGCTAAACTCAACAACTCCACCAAGGTTGCTGGAAAGCCTTGTGAGCCCCAATTTGGGTACTCTCAGGACTACAGAGGCAGGGTTGGTCAGAAGAAAAGGCATCATCAGGGGAGGACAGGGTACAAATTAAATTATTATTATTAATAACAATAACAACAACAACAATAATAAATTAACCATGGAAATACAATGGCTAGCTTATCCTACATGGGCAAACCCTGAAAAGTTCAGGCCTGACAAAGAGTAAAAGCACAGAGAACCACCACCCCCGTTAGGCACAACATGCTGCTGTATTCCTTCAATATTTCCTAAGAAAACAGTTCCTGGAAATCTCAGCCTGTAACAATGAATAGTCTTCCAAAACCGAAACCTCTCTCGCCTCATGTTTCTGGCTCACCATATATGGAAAACTTGCTGCTGTGAAAGCCCCTGCACCTTTTTTGTTTCTCAGAGCCCCCCCCACCCCCAGTGTACAGAAGTCAGCAAGGGCTGGGAATGCCTCGCCTTCCTCTCCCAGGCTATCCAGAACCTTGCTTCTGACTTCACTCAAAGTCTTCCTAACTCTCTCTTTCCACCAAGCCCAGGAAATCTGAAGTGTTCTGCTGCTTCCCTTGTTTACTGGTTCCTACTGTTTATACTTCCTATTCTGTTCTGGTTTTCGAACTATTCATGTGTACCCAAGCGGACTTTCCTTCTGCCTGTGGGCGCTGAAGTGCTGTCAAGTTGCTCTCTGCCTAGTCCTGCTCTATACTGCCTGAATCTTTAACTGTGCCTGCACTTGGCTTCTCCACGAACATCTCCCCCATAGATGCCTGAGAAGGGTATGCATATCCTTATGCCAGGTGTTCAAAACTGAACCTGCAGCTCTTTTAGAATGACACTGAGAGGTAGGGGAAGAGAACTTACTTTGTATGGCTTTCTCAGAGTAAAAAAATTGGGCCTCATTCACACAGTCATGTATTTTGTTTATTTCCTTTATACCCTGCCTCTCTCCCCAACAAGAACCCAAAGTGACTTATAACATTCTTCCTTTCTCTATTTTAGGCTGAGAGTGTGTGTAGGGCTGCCAAGTGGGAGCAGGTAAGCCCCCGCTTTGGAGGCCCGATTTCCATCACGGCGGAATCGGGCCCCGGGGGGAACTCCGCCCCCCGAAGCGCAGAATGATGGATGCCACAGAAAGATATTCCTGTAATGTATACTTGGGGAGATTTATGGGTTGGTTTTGTCCATGCGAGGCTCCGTTCATGGATAGCCAACCTATGGAATGGTGGCAAACAGTGGCTTTTAGCACACCTGAAAAGGAAAAGGGGGGCCCTGCAGCACTGTTTATGAGGCATATACTCTACCCCTCCTATTCCATGGCTGCTGATACCCACATCAGACCTTCATTAAAATGTTTACATATTTTGTCTGTGTACATAAGATACTGAATAACATCTAGATACTAGAGGAAAAGCCACACCACGGCACAAAATACTGCAAAACAACATATTATTACAAGTATTCCTAGTAATTTATATGGGGTGGATCCCATGGAGTGTTTGCTGCTGACAGAAGGATCTCCATCCACAGAGAAATCTTGAGGAGGGGCACAATCAGGGGACCCCCCCAGGAACACCATTTTGGGCTGCAGTGGGGGGCAGCCTCTGTGGGTAGAAATCTTCCAAGCTTGAAAATGCTCTGTGTGTGTGACCCACCCCTGTATCTCTACAGAAATACTCTACATAACAGGATCTAAAATGAAGAAAATGTCCCATAACACTAAGCTTGTTTCCCAAGAGGTATAGTTTTGTGACAAGAGACCTGGTGCAAAGTTGTTTGGTTCTCCCTTACCACCCCCAAACAAAGAGTTAACTGGCAACTGCTGCTTCTTACATCAGGCAATAAATATGCTTTTTTGCTTCATGTACTTAAAAATCAGAATCTTGTGGTCAAAGAACTCTGTTTCATCCTGTAAAGTTAACAGTATGCTCAAGGTTGCGGGCATTACATTTACAAAGGAACATCTTATTTATTTCAGCTACACAGCATGGATACAGAGGAAAGCCAGGATGAAAAGCACACGAAGTACCTTCAGCAACAAAGCAAGGTGGTAGTCCTTTTGAGGTCAGGAGGGAAGAAGCAGGAAGGAGGGCAGTAAAGCAAAAGAGAGGAAGATTTTATTGGAATAAATGACAGAATACAAAGTGTAGTACATGGTTTGTAACAGATTTCTGAGGACTGTTGCATTGGTTGGAAAAAATTTCCTTTAAAAATGATTTAATAGGCATCTTGTGAAACAGTTTCTTTGTTGTGCTGAATTCCAGGTAAGCAGTGAAGGCCCATGAATAAGAAATGATGAAATAGCAGCAGCACTGGGTTGGATCCAGCACAAAATTTCAACTTGCGTAAGAGCTCCTGCACAAGCAGAAGCACAAGAAAAATACCATGCTACTTAGCTTGTGCTAAGGCAGACTCATTGTATCCCTACTATTTGTCTTTCTGCTTGTGCAAGATCTTGTGACATTCAATTCTGGGGCACTATAAAATATAGGGAGGAAAGTGCTGGTTGTTGTATGAGTCCTTATGCAAGTGGAACAGCACTAAGTCTGTTTATCTTTCCATATGAGCACCACTGGATCCAAGCCACTGAAAACTATAACAGAAAATGTGTATGCCATTGGGTATATGAGCACACTAGGAGTGGGAGATGTTGCACAAGATCCTGCGCAACACCTTCCACAAGTGGAACTGTGCTAGGTAGATTTCTTGCTCTTTTGGTGCATGCATTGCTGTTTTCAACCCCATTATTTACTTTGCCTTGCTCAGCCAAGCAAAATATCTAGTGTCGGCCACTAGCCATCTCAATTTCTCATTAATCCTCCTAGTAAACTACCACATCTTCAACACATTCTGTGGAAACGTCCTACCAAGTCAACAGAACTTGCTTCCATGTGAGTTGTCGTAAATAATTTTAAAATGTTACTAGCAGAATATTATGGGAAGTAGGGTCTTGGCAGTGATCATTGGCCATGGTCAACAAATGAAGTCAGATATTTTTCTCCTCTGATCTCTTCAGCATTCTTCAATCGTTTTCACATGTGATGCTTAATCGCCTCTGAACTTCTGTTTCAGTACCTAGAATCACTATTCATACCCGAGGCAGGCATTTGCATATCTTCATTACAACTCTGACAGATTAGCAACCTAATTTATACTTTGTGTGTGAAGATACCCTTCAAGTGGCTTTGGATGTTCCTAGATGTGCCAACCAGTGGATTCAAGAGTGCTTCCACTTAAAAAAAAGAACAACTCGCAATGTAATATCCAAAGGTGTATATCACATAAGGGAGATTCTCAACCACCAGATGCATGCAGAGCTGGCACATCTCCTCCAAATGTGCAGACAGTTATTTGCCAGTCATTTTCAGAGACTGAGACTCAAGAGACACTGCACAGACTTTTCCCCCTTTTCGGCCACAAATTATTAACAACAGGTATGCTTGGGCAAACAAGCCAGTAAGGTTTTTTTTTATGGATTAGATTATATGCAAAATTTATTTTCCCTGTGCAAATTCCCTTTTGGATTATGTGGAGCCTCCACACACACACAAAGGTGGAGGCATGAGGCACTCTCACACTGGCTGGCACATCCTTTAGCATCTACAGATGCTTTCTGTGTCATTTCCTATAAGCACCCACTGAAAATTAATACTTCTGCTCCCCAAATTACGTTCTTTTCGAGGGTTGAAGTTTTAAGTTTGATTGATATGCCACTTATATTTTGAACCAGTGACCATTCTAATCGACACGAAAAAGGTGCTACTATCTACAACAGTGCTGTCCTCTCTTAGCATAATTTCCAGAATTGGCTACTTTGTAGCAGAAGTTCTATTTTTTAAAAAAAAGTTATTACCTTCCAGAAGAGAATACTGCAGTGACGACAGAAATGCAAAGTATCGCCGTATTGCTCCTTTATGGGGTAATACTTCTGAAGTGCAAAGTACATCAGCTTCCAATCAATAAGACCTTTTTCTGACAGAATAAGATGCCTACAGAACTGAACACAAAGGTGATATTTGAAGGGTAGCATGTTGTTTCAACCCACATTCCCATAAGACAAATAGCTCCATGGAACCAAAAAAAAAAATCATCCCTGCTTGTTTGTAAAATATTTTAGGAGACTGTGGATATGCTAAAAAGTGTTTGGTTAATACTTGTACATTGTTGTGCTCCACTAATCTGAGCTGATCCAAACTAACACTAATAGTGCAACTCAATGACAGAATTACTCCAGCCTAACCCTACTAATATTACTAGGCCTAGACTGGAATAACTTTGCATAAAACTGAATCCGGGCAGGCTTCCTTACATGTAAACACGTTTCAGATGACATTACAAGGCTACATTTCTGAGTGTACTTAGTTGGCAGCCAGTTCTGGTTAAAGAGGACCTATTTCCAAGTCCATAGGCCTAAGATGAACACATGAAGGCAAAAGACATTCCTCGTTTTAGTTCTATGCCTCTGCTAGCGTGTTCATTCTTTATGGACCACTCAGGTGGAAGACTGCTCCCTCTTTTGCCTGCTTTACATAGCATCAAAGCTTCAGAATTTCCTCTTACCTGCTTTTCAGTAAAATGGTACTGGCAAAGCTTTTTCCATAACTGCCGGTCTTCACTGAGCATATACAATGTGGGAGTCACTTGGCCTAAGGTAATAATGTCCCAACCATCTGAGAATCTATATAAGATGTTATTCAGCATATGCAAAGGAAGATCACTGAGTGTAAGTCCATTGTTGACTTGCTGGAAAGAAAATTAACAGCTGTTGATTTCAGACTAGTAAGAAAACAAAGTCATTCGCTCAGCTCCTAGCTTTGCCCTTCCCACCCATTGCTGGGGGGGGACCTCCCTCCCTCAACAAAACGCACACAAAAAGGCTAAACAATTGTACTCATTTGGGGATTAATTAACTTTAAAATAAACAAGTCAGTTTTCCCATTTGTTGAAATTATATGGAGATAGTTAAATTAATAATGCTCTGCCATTCTCAGAGATGGGGTTATCTGTTGCTCAAGTATATGCTTTGAGATTAGAAAAAAATTATAGACAAAAAACAAGATCTTAGTGAGATCTTTAGAGAAATAGATTTCTCAGCATTTTTTTTGAAAATGGCATTCATACCATCCATTCATACAATACTTTCACACTTATGACATAAAAGCTTCATTTACCTTGGTCATCTGAAGATTACTGAGCTGCTGTTGCCACAAAAGGATAGTTTCCAGTCTACAAATCCAAATATCAATGTTCCCTACCAATACTGACTTCCCAACACTCCTTATTAAGTTGCAGAGTGTAGAACTCAAATCCTGAAGAAGGTCCTTGATTAGACGTGGGTTGTACTGGTCTTCCAATACTTGACGGGAGAATTAAAAGAAAAAAACCACACACGTGAACATTCTTGATTTCTATTGGAATTCATTAGTTTTTCCTTTGCTCAACTGATTAAGGTGATAAAACCCTAGTATCCATCAGACATTACAAGTAAGGGGTCATGTAAGAGCAGGCATTTGAAGCACTACCGTAATGTTACAGAACAGCACTGCAAACAGATATAGACATAATGTAATTAGAATATACAAGCTGGGATGTGCAAGATTCACAGAGGAGGGAACCTTTAGCCCCCCATACTGCACCATTTCTCTTCCCAGCCTTTGCCATTCTCTCTCCTCAGTGCCATTTTCTACTCCCTCTGCTCTGCTGCTGCTTTCCCACTTAACTGAAGTGATAGAGAGATTGCTTAGGCTCAGGTACCAGTGCCTTAGTTGCTAGGCAACAACACAATGCCATCTGCAATCTCATGAGATACCAGTAAGCATTTTCCAATTTTGGACAGGTTTAAAAAAAACACAACAACCAATTTTTTAAAAAAAGCTGAGGACTTTCCTACAAATTTGGGAATTTCCCAAGACTGTAAAAAGTCTTCTCTGTATCTGTACATGCCCCCATTGTGCATATGTTTTTATCTGCACTCTGGGGCCATTGCTCAGAATTAGATATAAAGATGTTGAAGATTCTACAAACGAACTCATCTCCAGTCAACACTTCTTTTAACTGGCAATAACACACAGTCAGGGAGAACCCTTGCCTTTCTCCTCAGCCAAGAGAAGAGCAGATGTTTCCCCTTCCCCTGAGATGGCGTTCAAAGGTCTCACAAAAGTAGTGAAGACGTCTCGCTGCATTCCAAGTGTTTCTACAAGCAGCACAGCAACAGCTAGCTTGCCCTTCCACTCAATCTCTTCTAGAGTTCAGCAATGCTTGGTCTGTCGCTGCTGTTGCACTGAACTGCAGAGCCAGTTGGAAAGCAGAAAGACTTCTTGTTGTCTTCTGAATGCCTGAGCCCCTTTCACACATCTCAGACTGATAAGGAAGGCAGAGGCTGACCCACAGTCACTCTGGATCTCAGGCTCCCTAAGTCATTCTGTATCTCTCCCACCCACCCCCCTGTGAATTTTTCATAGGTCCCCATCAGCGTTCCCTGTGAGTTGCGGAGACTTGTGAGATAAAATTTTTATTTGTGAGCCAAAAGTACTACTAGCATAAAAGTTGTGAGCGGGCCTGATTTGACTATAGCGTAAATTAGTTTTTTATAAGATTATTACCATAACCTGTTTATAACTATTACCATAACATTTACTAGGACACAGTAACACCATAAAGACCAGTAGCACCTTAAAAATCAATATAGGCCCCAGTCACACGGCAAAGTTGCTGCGGGAGAGGCACGGATGGTGGGCGGATTATCTTGGCGCAATCACACTCCAACATCTGGGAAGTGGAGTGCACCCGTGGCTTACCGCCGACAATGCGCGTTAAAAAACGAGTACCTCCAAGGTACTAGTAAACGTTTGCCACGGGCTGCCTCCATATGCCCATGGTGTGATCGCGCCAGCGTGTGGCATTCCCCTCCAGTCCCTCGTTTACCCGCCGGTGCCAAGGGAAGGACCCATGGTGTGCCGCCGGCGCATCTGATCGTGTAATCGCACATCAAACTGCGCCGGGGAAATTAGCCACGCCTCCCCCCACGATATCCGGCCCGTGTGGCCGGGGCCATAATGTATTCTAGCTAGATTTGCCAACATCCAGGTGGAGCCTCAATGAAATTGCTGAGCAGTCGGGTTAGAACAGATAAAAGGAAGTATTTTAACTGTGTAAGCCACCTTGAGCCAGTTCATACCGGTAAGGCGGGATACAAATTGAAAGCAAATAAATAAAAAATAAAAGTACTTCTTCACCCAAAGAGTGATTAACACATGGAAGGCGGCGGCGACTACAAGCATGGATGGCTTCAAGAGGGAATTAGATAAACATATGGAGCCGAGGTCCATCAGTGGCTATTAGCCACAAGGTATAGATAGGAACTCTTCAGTCTGGGGCAAGTGATGGTCTGTATTCTTGGTGCTTGGGGGGGCAACAGTGGGCGGGCTTCTGGTGTCCTGGCCCCACTGCTAGACCTTCTGATGGCACCTGGTATTTTTGGCCACTGTGTGACAGAGTGTTGGACTGGATGGGCCATTGGCCTGATCCAACATTGGCTTCTCTTATGTTCTTACGGAGTTCTCCAAGAATTACAACCGATCAGCAGATGATATTGTTTCCCATGGAGGAGATAGCGTGCACACAGAGTCTCCTGACAGTCTTCACCTCTCTTATGAATTCTGATAACATATTGTCTGGTGGAGCTTCAAGTTATGCAGGCACAGGGCCAACTCAAGCTCTTCCAGCTTTGATGATGCACTCTACATTTATTATGCCTCTGCATGGCTCACAAAAATGCTGGAGGGGGTTGCAATAGATGTTTTTAGGCATACACTTCCAGTTACAACTGATTCCTTTACGTAGCATGTGGATTTTCCACATTACTATAAATTAAATAAATAATAAATTATAGTAAATACTAGAAACAGGTATTAACCCCCCCTACTATGGTAAATCCCCATAACACCAACTTACCTAAATGCAAAGCCCACCGTCACCTAAATATGTGCAACTCCTTCAAGAAGCCCTCCTACTACTGGCAAAGTTAACCCTCTACATGATGCAAAGCCTTTGTGTAAACAGCCAGCTACAAGAAAAGCCATGCAACCTTCCAGCATCCTTAACAGATAGTATTCTTTTCACAGATTTTTGAAAATGCATTTTTTTGCATGCCCCAACCCTTTGCAATAGGTTTAAAACACAATTATTGGCATTACTTGGAAAATTTTAATGTCTTGTGCAAATGCTACAAACATCATTATGGTACTGAAAGAGAAGGGAGGAGGTGGAAACTTCCCCCTTTAGACGACTTTCAAGCAAGGAGAAGCGGGTGTACAATTCTAGAAACTCCCGTTGGGGTTGATTGTGTAAAAAGGATGTAAATTGACTGGTAGCTATTAGATTGGACAAACTGATTATTATTGTTGATATTGCATGTAATGAATATATACCTGCTTTAGAATATTATGAATAATACACAATGCACTTTATAAGATGGAACATATAGAACACTTTAACTTATAAAAAAAGGTTTTTGCAGTGTATATATCTGTTGTTTGACAGCACCAGACAGTGGCAGTGCTAGCATGGGAAGGCTGAGAAAGACAGTGTGAGAGCTGGCTTCTGGAAGGCTCATGCGGGGCTCTCTCAAAGTTGCAGGCCCATCTCATACAGCCACGCTGCTAACAGCACCCAGCCTGCCAGTGTCAGGCCCCAGCCCAGAGGCTGCTGATGCTGCTCCGGCCTCTGCCGTGCCACGATTCGGGGGGGGGGGGGAAACGGTGCCAGTGGGCTGAAAAATGAAAAGTCGCGGGCCAGCACAGACAAATGCAGGATAGAGGGAACACTGAAGTCCCCATATGTGCATATATGTTGGGAAAATAGTAACCTATCAATATGGGTGGGATTTTAACCATTTGTTACTTTTCATATATTCAGCTTAGAATATATATTTTTCATTGCCAAGGCACAATGAGCAATGATTTTAGCTAGCTATAAAGAATAGCAATTTGTGAATTTCTGCCTCACTAGAAAAATCTGATCAAGAAGTTTAGTGAAATAAATCTAGAAATACTCGCTTATTTCTTTAAAAAAGCCAACTTTTATGTTCAGAAGATAATGAATAAAGAAAGTACTGCTTGTTTCTGGGACATTCGTTCTAATGTGCATGCACAAAAGGGAACCTGCAAAATGTCCAGATGAGAGTGAAGGGGGAGGGGGACAGAAAGAAGATTTTCCTGCTTTTAAACTTTTCACTATGCTGTCCATCTAAATTTCCCTAGCTTCAAGGAACCAGATCCGGGAACAGCTGCTGCCTACTGCCCTCTGTTCAAGCTGAGAAATACATATCGAAAAGTTACTATACACAATACAGAGATCAGCAAAGGTGCAGCCTTACCCTTTCGGACAATTTTATCCAAGATGCTGAAATAGTTCTTCTGAGCTGCACCACTTAATGAAGTCAACTGGGATTTTGCAATTAACTGTAAAAGCTAAGTGAAAACAGTCTGCATTAAAAGATGCATAAAGACAAGTGAAACATGAGTAACTATGCTATTTATTTATACTTTTTAGAACTGATCAAAATACAACAGGGGGAGGAGAAGCCAGAACCCAAGTGGCTGAACAGCTAAGGAAAAAACCACACAGAAACAAAAAGCATCTTTAGAGAAGCTGATATGATCATGAATCATACCTATGTTGAGTTACTTAACTGTACAGTTAGTCTACTGAATGAAGATGAAACATATGATGGGGAGCTGTGCAAGCTGAACTGAATTTTGGAGTTGACTTATGCAAGTTTCTCTTCTGATGCTACAGCAGAAACACAAGTTACTCATCCACCTACATGTCAGTGCTTGCTATTAACATCGTAACTTGCTACAGAAGCTACACAAATCTGCCCATCTAAACCCAACCCAGAAAGTTTACAGAGCTTTCTTCAATGTCTTAAGCACGGACCCAGACATAAGAGCACTTTTACATACTACT